CGATTCACTACGAAATCCTTGATTCTTTAATCAATTGTCTCCACTAACGACATGCCTTATTTGAATTCTATCTTGATTTCTCTTCATCATGCAGTAATATATCTGATATCCCGTCTTGCTTTTCTTGCCCCATTTCGAATTGAGAGGGTTTCAACCCTCATTAAACGGGCATAGAATATTGGGAAATTGGTAAACTGATTATCAAATTGAATTATATCCTGTAATTACCTCATCACAATTTTTTTTAAATTCCTAATCTTCATTCAACCGGGGATTGTGTGCGCGTGTTTACAAGCTAGTAAGGTAGAAATTCTCCCATATTATTGGACAAAATCTTGATAATTATAGGATTAGAATTTTCAATTCATTTCGAAATCCTTGATTCTTTTATTTATTGTCTCCCTTAACGAGATGTTACATGCAACACTGTCTACATGTATTTTTATAATGTCGAATTGAATCGATGAATGAATCCCCGAATCGTAATTCATGCTGAGATGTATAACTTATCATGAAAAGGATATAGATTGATATACTTATTAGGTTCTCTCCTTGCTTCCTGGCCAAGCACTTGCAAAAGTAATCAGTTCTATTTTCAACGATATCTTTGCGTGCATTAGATTCAGGGCGCGTTGGGGGGGGGGAGTATAGGGGGAGGGGGCACATCAGAAAAATTTCTCTAGGAAAATGTCGATGTTTCGTATGCAGTATAGACTGTTTACTGACAATTTCGGGAAATTTTAATTAGTAAGTGTGTTTCCGACTATTGGAAGCTCACCTCAAAATAAATCACAATGTCAACAGATAATGAGGGAGACCAAGTTGGTAGATAAAGGGAGAATTAAAGGTAATAGCAAGAGAAATGAGAGGGGAATTAAGAGGATGGAGAGAAAGCGAGATTGACGGATGTAGCTGAGTGAGAGAAATAGTGTAAGATGGGGAAAATAGTGAATGGAGAGAGAATAAATGAGAGAGAGAGAGAGAGAGAGGGGGGAGAGAGAGGGGAGAGAAAGAGAGAGAGAGGGGGTGGGGAGAGAACGTAGTGGAGCGTTAGAGGAAGGATGCTGGAAAGAGGAAGAGAGCTACTGCACATAATGGGGAATTCACAAGAAAGAGAGGGGTAGAGAACGTTGTGTGAGTGAGAGAGAGAGAGAGAGAGAGAGAGAGAGAGAGAGAGAGAGAGAGAGAGAGAGAGAGGGGGGGTCGGGGAGGGAAAGAAAGAATCAAAAGGGGGAGTCGTTGAGAGAGAAAGAGAGAGGCAGAGAAAGAAAGCGGTGGAAAACAATAAGAAACGGAGTAATACGTCCTTGTTTTCACGAAGTGACGGTAGTGAGGAAAATCGTAACGCAAAGTGAATGCAATTTTTTTTCACTACCGTCACTTCGTGAAAACAGCGAGTAATACGAAGGGGCGGGGAAAGGAAAATTATTGAAACAAACTAATCTAGAAAGGGAGGGGATACGTCTTAACGAGGTATAGAAAGACACTTGAACTTAGTTCATCTCGTAAGTAATAAAGCTGCACAGGACTTCAAAAAGTTTAATGGGAGCGTGGGTTCATCCTTTCACGTCTTTTCAACTCGCGTGATGGACGCGGTAGATTTTCATTGTACAGCCTAATCACAAGCCGGTCCACGCACATCCCACTTTCTTTGTGCGGCTAATTACCTCGTAATTACAGTGAAAAGACCCCAATTATCGGACCATTGTTGGTAGTAATACTCCTTTTTCGAGTCAAAGATAGGCCCCTTTTAGATTCCAGTGAACCATTCTTAAGACGGGTGGATTGGCAGGGTTATGAACTAATGCAGTAATGAGTTTAGTAGGAATTTGGGAAAATAAGCTTCCTTCACTCTCAAATCTTAAGTTTGTTTCTGTTTTAGTCATTTTCAAGAGTAACACAAACAACAATTTGAAGCACAGGTGCTTACGTACTACAACGCCACGCGCCTTTTCTTACACTCTAGTCTCTGGGTAACAACACAAATAAATCAGCCATTTAAAGGGATCCGGTAACTTTGTCTCAGATTCTGAAACAAAATCCTTGATTTAGCTCATGCTGCAATGATAGTTATAAACCTTTATGTCAGTCAGGAACCCCATGACTTTTACACGCCGATCGCCTGTCTGATTATCAAGATATTCATGATTGGAAATCGAAAACAAATTTTGCGTTTTCATAACACTACAGTCTATATTGGGGAAAACGAGTATGGCAAAACTGGTCACTCAAAGATTTTTACTTTTTTGAGGCACTTCTTGATCATTTTGAAGCGCAATTTTGTTAGGGTTTCAATATTACACAATGTCATAGACACTGAAAACACGTAGGGCCGTGCATCTCAGGTTTAACATTGTTAAACGATGCCTTTAAAACCAAAAAAAAAGGGGGGGGGGCGCTCAATTTTTCATGACCCAGGAGAACTGCATGCATCGACCCTCTCTTCTCATTATCCCCCTTCCTGGAATATGAAAGTGTAGGATTACAGCCCCCTTCTTCTGTGGACCCTGTACATAATCGAGCATGATGCAAAACTAATAATGCAGCTGACAAAAATTATTTTAGTAAATTTAGTTTGGCCCGACACTGGGTCTAAAATCATGTTTAACAAAAGGAAAAAGACCTCAGATTTTTAACCTCCTCTTTGTTAACCTTCTTTATACAGAATCTAAATTTATGAAATAATTCAGCCATTTCTCAGAGTTCTGATTTCCAGATTCGCCAAAACTGAATGGAGGACCAACTATGATGACTGTATTAACTCAGGCATTGTTCTGAAGAAAAATATATCTGAACTGCAAGTGTGAGGACAAGATTAACGATTGATAAACTGAGATGAATCGGGAAATTTGAACTCTGAGAAAAGGCTGAATTATTTCATAAATTAAGATTCTGTACGAAGAATTTGTTTTCTCTCTCTCTCTCTCTCTCTCTCTCTCTCTCTAAACATTTTTTAACAGTCGAACTCATTGACTCACTCAATTTCTTCAACAGAGGGCGACCTTTCACTTAAAAACAAGTACATGATAAATACACAAAATTTACATGTATGTCTGCATGCCAAGACTCGGTTCTGTGTTACAACCTGGAGACATGATACAAGTAAAATCAGTCTTCGTTAAGATTTTGACTTTGTAAGTAGAAATCAGTCATAAGTATAAATAACTCCATAATGTAATCATTCTAGTTAGTATTGATGATTTATTCACAATAAACTCTGTCATATTGAATATACATTGTTACAATGTTGTTTTCTTGGCAAATATGGTCGCATTTCAATATAGACCATTTTTTCAAAATGACAAATTTACATATACATGTACAATATACATTTGAATATTTGTATACATTCCTCAAAGTATAAAGAATGTTCAGAAAATCTCAAAATAAATTCAAAACTTTAAAAAGTGTTGGATACACTGTAAACATGCTTCTAGACAATTATTGTCTTCTATAGGCTTACTTTCAGTAACCATGCTATTACTGAGTAAAACAAAAATAATTCAAATTAGATATTCTATATCTTGGGGGTGTTTCACAAAGACCCTAAGTCGAACTTAACTCTAAGTTGGACTTCACAATTATGGAAAGCCGTTAGCATCTTTAAAAATATTTTGTAAAAGATATTTTACAAGGCATAAAATGTTGATTCAAATCATTTATATTTTCTATCATCAAGGAGATTTCATGTTCTTGATGTAGAATTTATGAAAAGTCTAAAATACCGGTAGTTGAATTTTTGCTTTTTAATATATTTTATCTCAAGGCTACAAATGGCTCTTCATAATGTTTAAGTCCAAATTAGAGTTAAATTTGACTTGGGATCTTTGTGAAAAACCGCCTAATGTAGTTACATACACACAGAGGATTTGCAACGAGGCAGGCAAGGAAAATAATACAATTCTAAAGATTTGTAAAATAATTCATCAAAATGACGAGAAAAAATTCCTCTGTAATGGAGAGGACATGAAATTTGCAAGGGGATACATGCGGCATAACACAACTCTAAAGAGTAAAAACATGTAAATACTTCCAATTAAAAAAAAAAAATCTTCCTCTATAAAGTTATTCCAAAGGGCATTATAAGCCAGAGGATTTATATTTCTGATATAGTTTGAGTCATTATAAGTACAATACTTAAACATGTATAAACAATTATCAATCTCATGATCATGTATTAGTATGCAATAATGAAGAAAAAAACATGATCATTATGCAGTAATGGAAAAAAAAAGCATGATCAGTATATTCTATGTTTTTTAAAATAATAATTCATCAATAAAATACTGTGGCAAAAAAATTTATAGACCACTACTTGTCATTTTCTATTTAATTGGTTGGTGGAGCTGGGCGCTTGATAAATGTGAGCTATTATTATTATTATTTCCTTTTCCCAAATCCTAATCTTGTTGAAGTACTGGTATGTTACAATGATTTCAGTTATCCCAATATGGCTGACTTTTAGTCTCTTATACGTCATACCTGTACATGAATATCACAAAGTTATAGTACTTAGACGGATTAAACTTCTGCATATAGTATTTCATGCACACAACAGGATAAGAATTGTCATGAGCTGATGGTACTTTCAGTATTATTGCCACATAGCAATTGTTTCTGAGATATAATGATAAAAGAAATGTTTCATCCATAAAATGAGACAATTCACACGAGCTCTTTGATTACATAGTTATCAATTTTTTTTTAAAATCACACAGCAAGGTCACTGACAGGTGGCTATCTCATTAACTCAGGCTCTCTATTAACATAAGAAAAAGAGGATCATGGGGGACCAACAGGCACCGATTGGGGAAGTTTTCTATACCGTGTATCAATTTTTGCACTCTCGCAAACAATGCCTCCTGTTCATCCAAGTGTGAACACATACCACACAAAAATGATACCCAATGATTTGAAATAAAACACTCTTTCATAAGATGTATAATAATTAACTGTTCATAGATGTTTTTAAAAATAATTAGCAATTTTTTAGGTGTAAACTTTTGTTTGGCTCACACTGTATAGAGGGAGCAAGTAGCTACAAGTAGTACAGTGTGGTTTTAAATCAACACACCCCATCACCGAATATACAGGATTACAAACAAATCATATATATGTATTCGGTCACCTTGATGCACAAAGTGGAGGATATTATGGAATCTTGTTGCCCAGAATTATCCTGTTCTTGCATGTTGCGAGCGCTTGAAGTGAGCATGTTAAAATTTAATTTCTATATCCAAGAAAAAGAATATATTCAGCATCGTATGGGCTTGTAGAGAGGTGCTTGTCTGGAATGCTCCCCAAGGAGTGGAGAATGTGTACACAATGTGTGCTAGCATCCCTTGATCTAATGACCAGGGTAAAAGCATTATTTTTTTAAGGCTTAAGAGAGACATCATTGGGTCATTGGTTTTGTTAGCTGATGCATAGCCGTAAGTGCAGGAGATACGCCGGTTTGCGAAACCAGAGATGATGTAATAAGCACTATAAATCAAGAATATATTCATCATCATTATTATTATTGCCACAGTAGTTATATACATATATATAATAAAATGTACATTCTTAACGTAGTAACACTTTTCAACATATTGGCAGGCTACAGAAGAGCTCCTAGTTTCTCTTTAAGGCCTGTCTTCATCAACTCGAGTTTGCCAAATAACCCGCTATTTTGATTATCCTGATCTCAAATTTGCCAGTTAATTTGCGTCTTCATCAGCCCACAGTTGCAATTAGCGGGATAGTTGGTCAAGAAAATATCAAGAGAAATGTTGGTTTTGTTTCCAAAATATATCGCTATTTGCGCCTGTCCATGCTAGTTTGTGATGAGCGTATCGGTCTGGTGAGGATGCAATTTCGAGCTTCGGGATAATATTCCGAGTCTGAAAATAGCAGGTTATTTGGCAAACTCGAGCTGATGAAAACAGGCCTTAAGGTTCAATTCTAAACACTGGTAGTCCTAAAACAAACCTTTACAAGGTTGCAGAGTTTTTTTAAAAGTAGGGCTCTGTCGTGATATTGCTTGACACAAGACACTTTTTGTGAGTCCTATCAGAGTTTCTTGCTTCTTCAGTCATCTTCACAAGATATTCTAGAATACATGGTGTCTTTCTGAGTTCCCGCCACATTTAAAATTGAACATTCACTGCATTGCCAATTTAATGAAGATTGGCAAAACAAATTTTGGTTAAAAAAGAACCTGTGTCCCACTAAGAAAGATGAAGAAACATTCATAAGAATGGATGGCAGCCCAAAAGTATTGATCCACCTGACTTCATACATATGCTAGGTGGATTTAAAAAGGTGGATTTAAGTTTGTAGATCGTCTTAATGTTCAACCGCTTACAGCGCTGCGTCATCAGAGTTTGTCTACCCAACGTCACGACTCTTCACAGAGATCCTCAAATTTCAACATCGGTTTCGCCAGCCATTGGTCTAGTGTTGGTGTCTTCAGTGAAACATGGCTTTATAACGTCTTTGACAAACTTATATTAATGCACCGTGGGGTTGTGTTGAGCAGATTTAGGCTCAGCCTTAGCAGAGCCGATGTAACGATTCTTCACAGAGCTCATAAAATGTCAGCAGTAGGTCACCAGCCCTTTGTCTAGCATCGATGTCTTCACTGAAACATTTCTTGTTAAATGTAATACAACAAATTTACTGCACCTTAAGTCATGTTCAACAGAATTGAGCTCTGCCTTAAAGCAGAGTTGGTCTCCCATAGTCATGATTCTTCACAGAGTTCCTCAAATGTTAACAGTTCATCCTTAGTCCTTGGTCTACAATTGACGCTTTCAGTGAAACATGGCTTTATAAAAGTCATGATGTGAGAAAATGTCATAATGTCATTTATAATATCATATGTCAGTTATAAATGCACGCTGAGGTCGAATTCAACAGGTTACGGCTCAGCATCGGCAGAGTTTGTCTCCCGACGTCACGATTCTTCGCAGAGTTCCTCAAATTTCAACAGCAGATCGAGAGCCATTGGTCTAGCATTGGTTTTGACATTGAAACATGGCATTATAATGTCTTTCTGAGGCGCAATGACTTCTTGGAGGGAATCGGGTACGATCGATCCCGTCATAAAAAGATGCGCTAACCCCCAGAGTGTCATGGTATTAGGGTAAACCGGAACCTCTCCGTAGAGCTCGATGAAGGAGCAGGCCACCGACCAGATATCCTGAGCACTGCTTACCTTTAACCTACATAATTCCACATGAAAAACAAACATACAAATACTATGTGTTAAAATTAACCTTTAATCTATATAATTTCACATGAAAAAATTCACAGAACTACATGAGAAATAAACCATTTAAACAAATTATTATACAATATATCTTTTTTTTAATTTATAATTTTTTTTAAATAAAAAAAAATAAAAATAAAAATAATAATAAATAATAATAATAAATAATAAAAATAAAAAATAAAAAATAAAAAAATGTATACATGTTCAACTAGCAACAAGATATTACATTTACCTGTTATTTATCATTATTGTATCTTAATTGTCAGAATATAAACTGCAGGCTTTAGTTGTTGCTAGGTTAGACAAACAGTTTTTACTTTCATACCTAAAAGCATGTAATGTATGCAATTTGCATTCTGACTATTGAAATACAATTATTTGTAACGGGTGAATTAAATAATTTGTAACAGAGCACTTAGCAAAGACGAGTGCATAAAATTTGATTACATTAAAGGGAGTGTAGCATGACGAGAATATGTGTCTTTCCAATCGGGTATGATATGACTACGGACGAAGCGCGAGGATCGAGAGCATCGGTCTATTTCGTGTCTTTCCAATCGGGTATAATACGGACGAAGCGCGGGGATCGAGAGCATCGGTCCTTTTCGTGTCTTTCCAATCAGGTATAATATGACTACGGACGAAGCGCGAGGATCGACAGCATCGGTCTGTTTCGTGTCTTTCCAATCGGGTATATTTATGACTACAGACGAAGCGTGAGGAGAATTTCGGTCTGGTTCGCGAACACTAGCGCGCACTGACCATTAATCACGTCCATTCGTTTACGTGCAGTCGTCCAAAAGAAGTCGTAGATGGCGTTAACCAGTATTTACCATGCTACACCCCCTTTAAGAAAATGGCAGATTGCTTACGCGTGGTTGGCATGCATCTCAGGTGCCATGTACATGGGTGTTCCTCTTGCTTTACTGATATGACTTGAGAGCGACATATGAGCTCGTTGTTTGATGTACGACAGACCAAGATCACAGAGGTACGTCTTCAGAGTCCCCTTCTCTATCTGCAATAATCATTACAATTTCTGGTAAGAGCTTACACATTTACTTGTATAGATAGAAAAGAGTACGGGAGAGAAGACACACCCCTGAGGTGCTCCTATGTTCAGGATTATAACTTCTGAGTTTACACTTCTTAAGTGAACAGATTGTTGTCTTCAGCATAGTAACATTAGATGACCAAACTCCCGAATTTAAAAGTACTTTCTGATTCCTACAAATAATATCCTTTACTACTCAATCTAATATTGATTTTGATCATAGTGAGACTAATGGAATGCTAGGATAATAATCATCTATATGTTATTTATGTTTTAACAGCTCTTATCAAATTCTTTAATACAGTATAAAAAAACATTTGGCATAACAATACAAGGTCATTGATATGTTAAAGGTATTTTGTGAATACCGTTCATATCTACCAGGTACCAGCAATAGTGCAATATTTTGTCTTGGTCCTGGCAGGATTGAACCCACAAAAGATTTTTAGAATAGCATGAACAAAAATAAAGCACTATTCTCTGCTAATAATAGTAATAATAATAGTGGAGTCTTGTGTAGCGCTCAAATCTTGCACATTGCCACTCCTGGCGCTCCATTATTAATACCCTAGCTTTAGCACAGCTGCCATTACAGTGCTCAAGCATTTCAAGGAAGTTATTCCTGCCAGGTTTCCACTTACCTCACCTGGGTGGAATGTGGCAAATGTATATAGATTAATGTCTTACCAAAGGACAGTAGTCCTGCGACAGGGAATCAAAGTTTCGAACCCCGTACTTCATGGTTCACAGTATGGAGACTTATCCACTGGACAACAGCAACTCTATGTTACACATTCCTAACTGTCCCTATGGACTATTGAAAATAGATATGAACAGGGTTTATAACACTTCTGATCATGATCTACAGGTGAAATGATAAAGGGAAAACCTTACCAAGATATTGCTTGGTTTGATGTCTAGGTGGAGGAGACCACTGGCGTGCATGAAGGTCAGAGCACTCAACACATCCTTCGCTATCAGGTTCTTCTGTGGGACCGTCAGCACGCAACTCTGAAGGTGTAAAAGTCAAATTTGAAAACCTGAACTAGTGACCACCACCATCATCATCATCATCATTGATATAATCAATACCACTATAATCACCATCGTCAATTTTACTGACATCATCATCATCACCAACACTGTCCTCCTCCTCCTCCTCCTCCTCCTCCTCCCCCTCCCCCTCCCCCTCCCCCTCCCCCTCCCCCTCCCCCTCCCCCTCCTCCTCCTCCTCCTCCTCCTCCTCCTCCCCCTCCCCCTCCCCCTCCCCCTCCCCCTCCCCCTCCCCCTCCCCTCCTCCTCCCCCTCCTCCTCCTCCTCCTCCCCCTCCTCCTCCTCCTCCTCCTCCTCCTCCTCCTCATCCTCCTCCCTCTCCTCCTCCTCCCTACCATCATCATCAACGCCATCACCATCCTATCAATTGTCATCCTTCATAAGATAGAGGTGAACATCATGATCATCAAGATTATTATCTTGCAACTTACTCCCTACAGGGGGCCCCATGGGAGACAAACTGATGTTGAACGGGCTACCCCGTACAAATAAACAAATAAAAAAATTAAAAAATAAAACAATTGTCTGCAGAAGGGCATTATGAACTTATTATATTATATGAGTTAATATAAAGCCCTTCTGGCTTCATACAGGCAATATTTGTAATAATTTTGTTTGTGCTGACCTTTTTTTTCTCTCCGGGAAAGATATAGTCTTGTAGAGTTGAGCCGTGGATGAACGTCATGACAAGGTATGCCGATACATCACTGTAACCCAGCGCCATCAGCTGGACGATATTAGGGTGCATCGCTTGTCTGTAAAGAAAAATATGAATATTACAACAATGGTTTATAGTTTAAGGGGGGGGGGGGGGGGGGTAGTGAACACTAAATTTGTGGTTACCATCTTTTTTGTATACTTTTTTTATTGCTGGAGGGGGGGGGGGGGGGGGGGTGGGGTGTGTGGATCCGTGCCGGTCCCTACTCCCCTCCCTCTCCCCCTCAAGAAAATTCTACCTTGGGTTTGGTGGGATTGGATGCAGTTCATTACTCACTTGTGTATGTCCACCTCTTTCTCTATTTCCGTTCGATTGCTGCCAGCTATGTTCATTTTCTTGATCGCTACGGTGGTTCCTCTCCATCGCCCTCTATAGACCTTCGCAAAAGAGCCTCCGCCGATCTCTACACCCATATCTAGTTCTTTAAAGTCGATTCTGTGTACACCCTCAAATACTACCAAGGAAAAGATTTGAGAACAGGTGTGAATAAATTGATTGTGAATGTAAACTGGGCCCTGTCTTATAATAAAGAGTTGATCTTGCCCTCGATTGATTTTCATTGAAAGATTGATGGAGCATAATAGCGTATGTCAATCACATGCTGTAAACGTAAAAATATCGGAGTACATTAATTTTCGCGGATTTCGCGCTAAAGTCGGTGTCTGCGAATTTTAGAACCCGCAAAAATAGAGGCCTGTATTCATCAGCTGGAGTTTGCCAATTAACCCGCTATTTTAACTACCGGTCGCAAATTAGCCATTCAATTTGCATCTTCATCAGCCCGTGGTTGCAATTAGCGGGATATTTGGTCGAGAAAATATTGCAAGAAGTCTTGGTCTTGTTTCCAAAATTTCCGGCTATTTGAGAAATAGTGGGCTAATCTGCGCCCGTCCAAGCTAGTTTGTGATGAGCGTATCGGTCTGGTGAAAAGGCAATTTTGAGCTATGGGATAACAACTCCGAGTCTGAAAATAGCGGGTTATTTGGCAAACTCGAGCTGACGAGGACAGGCCTCATGTAGCCCTGGCATTTCTACAGTAGAAAATAAAATTGTCCGCTCTGGACATAAAGACATGACCTTCGTAAATGTAATTGACACAAACACTGGACTGAGTAAACGTTACTGTTCATTTTTCCTGGGCATCTCGCATCTTTATATATATATATATATATATATATATATAAATAAAATTATATTGAAGATACAGGCAGGAACCTAGAAAAAGCCATTGCTACTATAACAATTCTACATACCGTCTTACAAAACCAAGTAAATAAAATAACACATAACAAAGTCTTCTTAGGATAGGAAGAACAAATAAATAACATTCATTCTTAAATGAAATATTGATTTCCTTTCCAACTGGTCTCCTTATACCAAACCCTTCATGCCTTTACCAGATTTGCCAAACTGCGGAGGCGACACTTCTTCCACATACAGCTGCGGTGACTTTTGTGGCAGATTAATTCTTTGTTGCTGGGGTTGCCTTTGTTGAGGTTGTCCAGATTTCAATGTCTTCTGCTGCTTGCCTTGTTGCTGTTGTTGTGGCTTTTCTAGGCTTCGTGGTGGACTGGTCGGAGTCGACTTAGTTGATTTCAGGTTGAAAACCCGACTAGCGCTGTTAGGAAGAGCATGGTCCACTTCATCTACAGATGCTGGGATGCTAGTGCTAGATAAAAGAGAAGTGGGCATTGTTCATTCAGCCATTCTGGTCTGAGGTTTTGGTTTTCCCCTGACTGCTAAGAAAGCATATGTGTATGCTTGTCAGTAGTCAACCAGTCAACCAACAGCTTTAAGTTGTCTCTGAAGGACTTGGTAATGAGGATGAATACCTTACATACCAAAGGCCACTAGTGCATCGTCTTTGGTTTTGAACCCAGGACCTGCCAGTTAAAATACCATTGCTCTACCACTGAGCCACCGCGTCTCCCCATAAAAGAGCTTAAGTTAGGATATGTCTGTGGAGCAAACTCTATGCCAGCTAGCGGTCAGAATTGATGTGTTAGGGTGAGCTTATCAACAAGGACAAAAAAAAAATCTTATTTGTTAGTTGATATAATGAATGTCCGAATTTATGGCAGTGAAAAAAAAAAGTAATGATGGTGGTGGTGAGGATGATGATGATGATGATGATGATGATGATGATGATGATGATGATAATGATGATGATAATGATGATGATGAAAGTGATAATAGTGATAGTGAGAGTACATGTAGTATTAGGTGTAATCATGATGACAGTGGCAAACTAGCACAGAAAGAAAAAAAAACTGCTGATGTACTGACATTGATGAAAGATAGAGGTGGCAATGATACCAAAACTATTAATGATGTTGATGAAAATGATGATGATGATGACGATGTTGATGAAAATGATGATGATGATGACGATGTTGATGAAAATTATGATGATGATGATGATGTTGATGAAAATGATGATGATGATGATGTTGATGAAAATGATGATGATGTTGATGATGATTATGAATTTGATAGTGATGTTGATGATGATTATGAATTTGATAGTGATGTTGATAACAAAAATGAATATGATGATGATGATGATTATAAAGTTGATGGTGATGATGCTGATGACAATTATGATGATGATGTTGATCAAAATGATAAAGATGACACACCACTTGTGATGGCAAATAATACCGGTAGTCAAGAGGGAAGTGATGATATAGATATAAAGTAATCGTAACACTTAAAAAAAAAATACCTGACTACGTTTCTCGCTATGCTACTGAGGGCAATCGCTAGACTCTTCCCTTCCAAAATCTGTAGCGGTGTCCTCCGGGAGCGGTTATACACATCAATTCTAGCACCTCTCATGATGAGATACACGATCAATGCTACCCCTGGCATTTTCAGTAAGGACTCACTCACACCTTTACATAACTGTAGTGAAAAAAAGGAAAGAAAAAACAGAGTCATCAAAAGTCAAATGATCTAGGATTGGAACAATAGCTTTCATAGAGAAATCTGGCATATAATACTAAAATATGCTAAAAACACTTAACCTGTAGCTACGGTACTCAACATTACCCTTTGGTTTACTACAGGAATAACCCAGTTGCAGAAGGCAATGGGTTCAAACCAAAACTAAAATCAATGCTACAAAATTTGAAGAAACACAAACCTCACGGCTCTTAAAGATGATTTACTCAAAGGTCTAAACTTTGAGTACTAAATATCATTGGTGGAATTATCTTTGAGAGGGTTTAGTCTTTTGATTTTCAAGAAATTCCACTGCAATTACAATTACAGAACTTTTTTTCTTCTCTTAAAATATAAACATTCATCGCATTTGTCTTCCAGTATTATCTAAGGCATTGAGTGATTTCAAGTTTGGTGTTTAGGGCTGGTGTTAGTGTTACATAAACACGAACACCAGCCCTAAACACCGAAATGTAAATCATTTGTTAAGGCTTTGACCTCTGAATAATGAATATCATCAACTTCCGGTAGCTAGTGTTAACGATTTTGCAAAATTTTTGTCTGCTGAACCGACCTTTGTGGCTGGTGTAGATATTTTACGTACAAATGTCCTAATTCACTAACACTAGCCCCTAGGGATTAAACAAATGTTCATTTCCAGTTTGGTGTTAGTGTTGTACCCGCACAACAGTTAACGCACGAACGACGCTAATGGTCTGACGATCACAAACAAATATGTGAAACAGGTCCTTCACTATGTGACCCATACATTCTTTTGTGTAAAATGAGCTATTTTCTAAGACCAGAGAAATAAGTGTAAATTCATTCTGTGCTTTTCATGATATCTTTAGTCTTGATGAACTATTTTTAAATCATCGTCGTGAAATCAATTAGTCTGTGTGGCAAAGTCAGTGCTCACAGTATAGGGTGTTAAGCTATCGATATTGATATCGGTATCAAGCTCTTAATTTTTTGCTTGATTTAAGAGTTCTTGACTGCTCATTACACTAACACTAACACTGACACCCAACTTGAAATCACTCATTGTATTATTATCCCTCCTTCCTTGTCGAAAGTCACTAATATCATACATACAGGCTGAAGTATTTCTGCATCGTTTCCAGAGGGGTTGTGTTTGTATCTCAGCACAGCTATATGCAGGCAGGTATCACGATCACCATCACAGGCATTGACATCCGCACCAGCTTCAACCAGCAGTGTCACTATGTTTACATTCCCCCCTGACACAGCAATCAACAGTGGTGTTTTCTGTAGCGAGTCACGGTCATCCAGTATACTCTTGTCCTATACGGGTATCATTTAACAAAAATAAGATCAAGTTTATTATAAAATCGTTGCATCACCACTTAGGCTAGTCCAAGGTACATTTATGTCCAATACGCTACCAAGCATTTTTTAATTGTATTAAGGAGTTGTGAGCATAAATTGACATAGAAATATCATTTTAATTGATGTTTTGTCTGATTCAAGCTCTAGCAAGGATATCACCATGCTACAGTCATCATATAAACTATTATCTTAGATATGGTCAGTAATGAGTGATACAAAAACAAATCCATGACTTGCCCATTTATAATGCTTAAAGGGATAGTTGAGTTCTGTTTTCAGACCGCAAATGCCTTCAAAGTGCATGGTTATTGCTCTTATTCTTATCTATGACATTTCTAGTGCCCTTTTAGAACCTAAAATTTCTATGAACGGTTAATTTTAGACCACAAAATGTGTGAATTTGGCCAATACGATCATACCAATACAGCTCCACTTTCAAAAAAACACGGCGACCGTTAATTAATTTTTTAATTAAAAATAACAATACATGGTCCGGCTGATTGCGCGTAATATAAGCAACACGAAAATGCCAACAAAAAAGATACAGCGGCATTGGCTGAAATACGACGTAAAAGCCGTTATTTCGATTTTCAACGGTTTTTTTCAAATTTTTCAAAATATCTAATATCTGTGGTGGTACGAAATCGTTATATTTATGGATATTTCAGCCGTCTCTGAACCGATTTTGATCAAACAAAGATGAATTTGTCATTTAAATATTATGTTCTTTCAAATTTGACACTCAGTTTTTCATTATCTCACAAAAAAAAATTTTGTGTAGCGCCCTCTGCAACAGAACTCAACTATCCCTTTAAAAGGGACCAATGACCAAAACATATTTTGTTCAGTAAGTTTGGGGTTCCATACACAAATATTAAATATATCTAATCTAAGTGTAGGACCAAAAAAAAGGGTGTATACATTTGAACACAGAGTTCTACTGGCTCAAAACAGACTATACATGAGAAGTAATAATTACAAAATTTGAACATATTAGTATACAGGGTCCTGTTCCATTTAATTTATTTCCAATAATTTATTTATTTCCAAGAAGTTACAATAGATGATAGAAACTACTAAAATAAGTCCATTTGATTGACTGTGAACAAATTCTTCATTGACAAATACATTTTTATGAACAGGGCTTAGATCTAGAGATTGAAAAAGAAGCTTACCTTCTCGATGAGACAGCGGGCAACCTTCTCAAAGTTGTTGCTAGCGGCAACATGAAGAGCATTTTGACCGTCATCTTTCCTCATCTTGATCAGGTGAGGAGCATAAAAGACAAGACGTCCAGCAGCACTGAAAGGTTTAAAGATGACAACGAGAAAAGATATCTAAAAACTTGATAACAATTTTTTAGGGAAAAAAATGTCTTGTGCTCAGGGTGAACCCCCGACCCGTTCCCGATTGCAAGTTGAGCTCAAGGCAAGCAAGTAAAAGCTGTTAACAAACTCAGTACTCAATTTTTTTTATTTTTTTTTTTTTTGGGGGGGGGGCGTAATTCAGACAAGAGACATGTTTTAAATATCTCTAAATGGCAAAGTTTAAACAAAAATGTAATGTCTTTGGTCATTTTGCAAAACATGCAACTTTTCATAACAAAATCTTTATTATGTGAGAAACACATGTCTCTACAATCAACAGCCAAACAGAAAACCATTTTGTCTGATTTATACTTACTAGTCGTTGCCCCTGAGGGCAGCATAATGTAACACCGATAGGCTTTTCTTGTTGCGGAGGGTAAGATCGGATTCATGCCAGGGTACAAGGACGTCTATCACGTCTCGTTTGTCCTTGTGGATAGCGTCATGGAGGGCAAGGTCTCCAGCTTTATCCTACGGGGGAAAGAAGACAACAAAACCTTTAAAGGCATCTTTAAACAATGTTAAATCTGAGATGCACGGCCCTACGTGTTATCAGTGTCTGTGATATGGTGTAATATTGAAGCCCTAAAAAAATTGCGCTTCAAAATGATCAAGAAGTGCCTCAAAAAAGTAAAAATCTTTGAGTGACCGGTTTTACCATACTCGTTTTCCCCAATAGACTGTAGTGTTATGAAAACCATCAGGCGAACGGTTTTCAAAATTTGTAATTCCAATCATTAATATCTTGATAATCAGACAGGCGATCGGCTTGTAAAATTCATGGGGTTCCTGACTGACCTAAAGGTTAATAATTATCATTGCATCATGAGCTTAATCCAGAATTTTGTTTCAGAATTTGAGACAAAGTTACCGGATCCCTTTAATACAGTCCTGTTTTAATACCCTTAACGCGATACGCGTATTACGCTCCCAGTTTTGATGCCATTTAGTGTGAGTAGATGATGTACATGCAGGCCTCAATGAGACATTACCATCCCTACCCCCCCCCCCTCCCAGTCTTTTCTTTTGGGGGGGGGGGGGTTGAAAGGGAAAAGGTGGGAAGGAGGAGTAGGGGAAGAAGGAGAAGTAGGGGAAGAAGAAGGATACTTTGGATGAACAGTCTGCAAAAATTGTTACAAGAGAGAGGAGTGAGGAGTGAAAAACTGGGAGTGGTGCTAATATAGAGAAGGCTAGGAACCGAGGGTTGTGGAACAGCATGATCACCAAAATCAATCAATATGGCACTTAGAGAGAGAGTGGTAAAGAGAGGATGATAGCTTATGTAAATCACCATGGCAACACTGACTTACCTGCATATTACATTGGCATCCCTTGCGGAGAAGGATTTTGACACACTTGATGTGACCCCTACGAGCAGCCACATGGAGGCAACTTCTCTTCTGGTTGTTCACGATGTTGATGAAGCATCCTTTGTCCAACAGGTATTCCACCAATGCTGGCTTATTACTGCATTAGGTTAAATGAATTCAGGATAAAGATATCTTAGTCCAGGGGATGTTTCACAAAGATCCTAAGTTGAACTTATCTCTAAGTTGGACTTAACAATTATGGAAAGCCGTTATCATCTTTGAAAATGTTTTTTAAAAGTTATTTTAAAAGGCATAAAATGTTGATTCAAATCATTCATGATTTCTATCATCAAGGAGATTTCATGGTTCTTGATGTGGAATTTATAAAAGTCAAAAACATTTGATTTTTCATTATTTAATATATTTTATTTTAAGGCTACAAATGGCTCTCCATAGTTCAACTAAGAATTAAGTTTGACTTAGGTTCTTTGTGAAACACCCCCCTGGGGAGTCTTTTACAAAGACTAAGATCGACTTTAAGTTGGACTTAACTATGGCAGGCCGTTCATGCCATTGTGTGCTCTTACCGTAGCTAAATAACGCTGCCTGCCATAGTTAAGTCTAACTTAAAGTCGATCTTAGGCTTTGTGAAACACCCCCCAAGAGGTATTCCAGCCCATTTTGAAAGGGAAAGTCTAGCTCAATAAATAATTTTGGTTTCAATAAAAGCTGAAAAATGAGAGAGACAGATTAGTATGTATTAGTAAGTAAAAAAACAAAAAGTATGAATTTTTAATGTTTAATCAATCAAATGCTAATTGGCACCGGAAAGTTTTGATGATTTTTTTCTTCTTCCTTTTTTTTCTTTTTTGGCCTGTCAGATATGATTTTAGTGAATTATTTCCACCATACATGTCACAACCCCTCTTTTGATGTCATTGAGAGACATCCACCACACCCTTGTCCCCCCCCCCCCCCAAAAAAAAATCATTTACAGAATCCTGGATCTGTGTTTGATTATTGATGTACATGTACATGTGTAAATCTTTAGCTTTTCTTACCCATAAACAGCGTAAAGCAGTGCGGTATCTCCATCATTATCGGTTGCTTCCAGAGCAGGTTTATATTTCATCAACTCCTTCACTGTCGATAAATGACCTTGATGAGCTGCTACTTGGAGCGCGGTGCGATTCGAGTAGACTGAATCAATCTGACAATTAGGAAAATGAGACAGATAAGGCATTGAGAGGTTCGAGAACACATACTCTGGCCACAAGTGATCCAAAGTGAATTTCAAATAGTTTCTAAATTTCTTAACTTTATTTTTTCTGAATTAACCTAATCTAAAGTCTTACCTAGAACCTAACCTAAAACTAAATTGCAACCCTAATTCTAACCCTAACCCTATATGTTGATTGAACTGAAGCCAGCCTGAGGAGCAAATTTTGGAGAACTCATACAAATGTAGAAACTCTGAAAATAGGATTTTCTTTAATTTAAAGAGAATCAATAAATATTGAATACATTCAAAGCTATTGTCTTAAAGGTGGACTGATGAATATTAATAGTCAGAATAAGTCAGGAGAGCCGATGTATTTGTTTCCAGTTCATCGTGACTGTGGCATCGACCAATGATGGCCTGGTGGTAGAGTCACTGCCCGACAAGTAGTAGATGGCAAATTGAAATCCGACAAAAAGGATGAAAAGGCCATTAAGAAGGCAAGAAGGAACGACACAACAAGGGAAAAGAAAATGGTGAAGGAGAAGACGCAGAAAAAAAAGAGGAACAAAAGAGGAAAAGAAAGAAAAGGAAGAAGAAAAAGAAGAAAGGAACTAATTTGTTGCCAGTCAGGGCATGACTTACGGATGTCTTTGAGTTCAATTACGTGGCTATTACATGCAGCTGTTGCTGTACTCAGGAGGAAAGAAAGAAGAAGAATGAAAGGCGAAGAAACAAGGAAGGAAAGAAAGAAAGAAGGAAGGAAAGAAAGAAAGAAGAAAGGAAGGAAAGAAAGAAGAAAGAAAAGGAAGAAGGAAGAAAGAAAAGATAGAAAAAAATATAAAGTATGGAGAAATGAAAGAAAAATTCTTACCAAGTCTCGGTTTGCCTCCAGGATTTCTTTGACATCGCTGACACGGCCCATAGCTGCTGCTTTACTAAGTTTCTTGTTGGACCCGTCACTTTGGAGGGACTCAAGATTCCTCCGCTGGTCAAGCAGGGATGTGAATCCATCTAGGAAACAATTGATTACACAATCAAATATTAGATTGATGAAATGATCATAGCTTTAAACACTCTGGTGAAATCTGTATGTAGAGTCTTTTACCCAAATTTACAATGGAGGTCTGAATTTAATTGTTGGACTAAACCATGATACATAAGTAGATAGATATATAGATTAATATATGTATAGATAGATAGATGGAGAGATGGAGAGATGGAGAGATGGATAAATGGATAGAAAAAAATTGATAGATGTAAAGATAGGTGTACATGTATGTAGATAGATAGATTAATAGAGATATATATATATAAATGTATAGATAGGTACATACATGTACACAGATGGGCTTAAGCAAACATCAGACATACTGGAGGGAAGAGGAGCCTTGTGGAGGTAGAGAGAAAGATAGACATAAAGATAGATAGATAGATAGATAGAAAGATAGATAGATAGATAGATAGATGAGACTTACCCTCTGGATTTTGTTCAAACATAGTTTCATGTTGACCTGACTCTATCAATGTCAGACATGCTGGATGGAAGAGAAGTCTTATCGAGGTACAGAGAGAGATAGACAGAAAGAGAGAGAGATAGACAGAAAGATAGACAGAAAAATAGGTAGATAAGATAGATAGATAGATAGATGAGACCTACCCTCTGGATTTTGTTCAAATACAGTTTCATGTTGACCTGACTCTATCAATGTCAGACATGCCGGATGGAAGAGTAGCCTTATCGATGTATCTTCTATTTTGACCTTGACGTCTCCATCGCTGTAGATCTGTTCTACTTTAGCTTCTCGACCAAGAATCTGAAATTAATTTGAAATCACACAATTTAAGCTTTCCCATATGAATAAAGCAATACTGAAACAAAGCTGTATGATTTATTGTTCAAGTATTGAAAAGAATTATCAAACATGTACATTATCAACTTGTTTGGAATAAAAACTATAAAACAATGAAAAGTTTGTTGACTGGAGAGCATCAAAGTGTACAGATTATGATGAAAACAGGCTACACCGTCAGCAAAAAAGGACGTCTCCTCCTCCTCCTCCCCCTCCCCCTCCTCCTTCCCCTCCCCCTCCTCCTCCTCCTCCCCCTCCTCCTCCTCCTCCTCCTCCTCCTCCTCCTCCTCCTCCTCCTCCTCCTCCTCCTCCTCCTCCTCCTCCTCCTCCTCCTCCTCCTCCTCCTCCTCCTCCTCCTCCTCCTCCTCCTCCTCCTCCTCCTCCTCCTCCTCCTCCTCCTCCTCCTCCTCCTCCTCCTCCTCCTCCTGCTCCTCCTCCTCCTCCTCCTCCTCCTCCTGTTATCATTATTACTACTATATTCACATTGTCAATGTTTCTCACAAAGAACAACGACACCACCCAGTACTGCTCAAACCATTGGGATGCATCCTACCTTTCTCATTGAATGATTCCATCCTCCGTGACCTCTCTGAAGATTCTCTGCTTGTGATTGGTCGGTGATAAGCCGGACCCTGTCCCCGACACTGAATGCTGACACCTGAAGTTTGTAAAAACATATTTACAAGTAGTTCATGAATATACATCCAGTATCTGTTTACAAGTATAAGCCTCAGGGGTACTGGTAGCTCATAGATTATGGCTACTAAGAAAAAAATGTTCAGATGACTAAGAACAACCACAACCACCATTGAAATGCTTTACAATGTATATATATCTTAATGTTTGGCATGTTTTTTAAACTGAAGAATGAATCAAGACTGAGCTGAACATATTGTTCCCACACTATATATTCACCAATCATTTTTTATATCGAAAAACGCAAATTTCCAAACCAGAGTTGCCCATAGAGTGGTCAAGTGTGAAGCATCAAAAAAATATTTTTAGAGTTTCCAAATTTGAACTTCGTTTTCCGAAAGAGCATAAAAATAATGTCCAAATGTTGAAAACCAATTTAATATGTATTGGCTGAGTGTTAGCTGAGAATATATGACCATCCAAATAATTAGATTTCAATAGAAAATCAATGTTATTGTTTTCTGGTTCATAATGTTAAGAGAAATTCTAAAAAATAGATTTTCAAGATGTCACAGCTTCGGTACTCTATCACGGTTAGAACTGACCTTGCGTACTGCGATAGGATTAATCTTTACATTCTGTCCACTTAAAAAGTGGATGCTGAGTTCACCCTGGTTGGTCACCTCCTTGACAACGCCCTTCTCACCAGCAACCTAACAAAGAAAAACAAAAAGAAGAAGCCATTAAAAGGGGTATCTTTGCCTCAGATTCTAAACAAAATTCTGGATTTAGCTCATGCTACAATCTTTAGGTCAGTCAGGAATCCCATGACTTTTACAAGCTGATCGCCCAACGGATTATCAAGATGTTTATGGTTGGAAATCGAAATTTCAAAAGACGTTTTCGTAACTGGTTTTTATAACACTACAGTCTATTGGGGGAAAAGGAGTACCGGTATGGAAAAACCGGTCACTCAAAGATCTTTACTTTTTTGAGGCACTTCATGATCATTTTGAAGCGCAATTTTTGAATGACATTCTGTGTAATAATCATTTTTTGGTTCTTGTTTAGTGCATTATAGCGTCTCTATGCGCATCCAAAGAGCTTTGGAAATTATTACCCTGGCTTCAGCATGGTTGCCATTACGGCGCTCTAGCATTTCAAGGAATTAATACCTGCCAGGTCACCATTTACCTTGCCTGAGTCAAGTGTGGCAAATGTAGATTAATGTCTTACCTCTTGTGTTTCTCTCGCCACACTAATCTTGGCAATATCCAGTGATTTGAGAGTATCTTTACTCAACTGGATTACAACAGTATCACCAACTTGCAGTTCTTCCGTTTCACCTGGAGATACAATCATTCAATCAAATCATATTAAATCAAAGTCAAGTGAATTGTTTTTAATTATATTTTACAGCAAAACCTATACAAACTTGATTATCAATCTTAAGACCTTATGATATTCATATTGCATTGTGTAATTAGGAGATTTATAATTACAGAAAGTTGAGGAACCCTATTAAATGAGCATTAAAACATGAACATTATTTTAATAAACAAGTACAAAAACCATGATAAAAACTTATATAATCATATTGCTAAAAAAGTACTTTCATGAATGTGTGCCAAAAGTTGACTGTAGCAATGCCCTGTTTGTGCAATTGGTCGACCAAAGCCAATAAATAGTATAGATATAATGACTGCTACGAGAGAAATAGTTGTTTTATAGGCTCAAGGGGATGTTGCATCCTGATATGACGCCCTTAATTTAACTATTTAACTATTTTTCTGGTACCCGGAGTCTTGCGGCAATATCACTCATGAACTATTGACCATTACTGGCATTGTTCGTCTCTTTAGGGGAGAATGGCTAAAATCACGACTGCAATTTTGACCAAACAGATGGCTAGATTTCTAAAGAGAGGTATATGATTAAAGCCAGTGACTGAACCATACCTAGGTTGGGTAATAGATCGGGATAATACGTTCCTCCTCGGCCCTCCTCCTTGCACTTGATGTCCACCTTGCCCTCGATTCCGAGACGGTAGCGGTAGATCTTTGACTCGTTGGTCTTACCGGGCCACTTCACCCCGGCAGCGGCTCGGTTGCCCTTATCCCCCCAACCCTGTACGTCTATCATGTTACCTGGACGACTGCTATCTCCTCCTGGAAAGAGTTTGACAATGATAATTTTCTGTTACTTCTAGCACAGTCAAACCTGTCTATAGCAACCGCCCAAGGGAAACGCAAAAAGTAGACAGGTTCCTTTAGTACATGTTTCAATGAGAAACCACTTTGAAGGAAAACAAAAATGTGGTCTTTACAGACAGGTGGATATTGTAGACAGGTGATCACTAAAGCAGGTTTGACTGTAATTTGCTGTTTACTTTTAGGAAATCATGAACACTGAACATGGAAGAAACCATCATCGACAGGGTTGCCACAAAAAGATTGAGATACTTTGGACATATCAAGAGAATGAATCCAAAAAGATACCCCCGCAACCTTCTCAACGGAAATGTACATCGCAAACGCCCAAGGGGAAGACCAGCTAAGAGATGGACGGACTGTATCAAGGCGGACTGCAACAACAGACAACTCGACTCCCTGACTACAGCCACTAGGCCAACAGAAGATAGGAAGGTGTGGCAAGCCGTTGTGAGACAGAAGCCATCATACATGTACATCTCAGTGATGGTGTGGACGGCTTAAGTCAAGTGTAGTACAACTGTTACCTTTAGAACTAAATTCACTATCATCTACCTATTTGGTTTTTACACTGAATGTGCTGAATGTTCCATGCTGGTATCTTACATTCAAAGTATCAGCTTTAACTATGATTTCTGTAATTAGTAAATATTGAAAGGTTGAAAACTAAAATTTAATACTCAAAATGACAAAAAAAGTATATTGATAGCAGACAAGTTAGCAAAAACTTGATCTCATGGAAATTATCTCCAAGTTAACCTCTGGGCCCTGTTTCATGAAACAGGTTATCAGTAACAAGTTACAATAACTGTTATAAGCTACTAATATTGTGGCATTTGATTGGCTGAAAACAAATTAGTCATAGATATTTAGCATTTGTTATTACTGACAAGCTTTGTGAAACAGGGCCCTAGGTGAGTGTTGATGTGAGATCACATTTTCCTTTGCACTCAAAATAGAATAAGGAAATTCCTAATTTGTTAATGTACCTGTCCATAAAGTCATTCAGGTACCATATCTTTATTTGTGATAAATCAAATACTAGTGTACATTGTAGGCTGACAATACAGCTCTAGAGGGAATATTTATACTACAGGGCCCGTATTCAATTCCATACTTAAAGGGAAAGTCCACCCCCAAAATAAGTTTGTTTCGATAGAGGCAGAATAATAAGAAAATCAGGTGAGTGAAAGTTTGAGCAAATTCTGAATGAAAATAAGAAAGTTATGAATTATTGAAGTTGTGATCAATCAAATACAAATTGGCAACTCTGTGACTTATTATACGAGCTCTCCTTCATTTGCTTTGTGCATAATATTCCATAAAATCATGTTTTCTTCGTTATTGATGACGGAATATATATTTGTTCCTTGCAGGGGGAGTATAGAAACATATTTGCAATTATTATATTTAGGGTGCATGTATGGTTGAAATTTTTCTTGAGGGAAAATGAAAATTTTAGATTTTTTTAGTACTGAGCAAATGAAAGTTGAGCTCGCATGATACGTCATAGAGTTGCCAATTTGTGTTTGATTGATCACAACTTCAAAAATCCTAACTTCCTTATTTTTAATCGGAATTTGCTCAAACTTTCACTGACTTGTTTCTCTCATTTTTCTACTCCTATTAAATCTAACTTAATTTCAGGGTGGACTTCCCCTTTAAGTACAAAATTAAAGCTTTTTACTTAGTATTTGGCTTAGATGAAATACTTAGCCAATTTTGGTATTCAATTCAAACTTTTGGCTAAGTATTTTACCCTAAGTTTAAGACAACTCCCTACCAGACTTAATCCGATTATTTGGAGGCCTTGACTGGCAGACACATGGTTTTCTTACGCAGTATTATTACCTGAGCACAATCATATTAGCATGCATTTATTGCACATTACTTTTGATGGACCGTTTGATATCACAATGCTTATCAGTAAGTATTTTACTTAGATTTTGTCTCAGGTAAGTACAAGTCTAAAATGCGATTTGAATATGAGATAAGTACACTTCTTAGTTTAGACATTTAGTAAAGAAATTTCTGATTTATTTTAAGTATTGAATAAAATACCAGTCCAGTAATCTTAGTTCTTCTGAAAATCATCTGGTATTAAGAAACAGGAAATAAAGGAATGTTTGAATTGAATCACAATTCATATCTTCCTTTAGAAAACAATATAAAATCTTACTACTAAATAATTATTAATCAGCATAGTTGTTGATTTTTTTTTTTTTTTTTTCTAATTTTATATCTGAACCCTCTTTCATTGTTATCTTGTTTTCCTTTCCTTTCTTTTCCCCCTTTATATATTGTTTTTCTTCTCTCTATTTTACTTTCTCTTGTCTTATAGGTAGTTGAAGTGTTTGTACTTTGCTTATTTTACTTAATTTATTGTTGTGTGCTTATAATATGTTATATTTCTTTTTGTATTGTTTTTCATTCTTTAATGGGCGATCCAACTTCACAGGTTTTCGCAACCTTCATGGAAAGCCCCGCATATAACCTTTTTAAACATAGTTAAAATTTACTTTTACTTTGTATATTTTGATTTTTATATTGCGAAAATAAAATTGAATTGAATTGAATTGAATGAACTAATACCATCTTGGTCTCCGTATTTCCAATCGTTGCCTCTCTGGACCAGAGCCCCAGGGAAAGTACCAAGAGCTTCCACCTTCCTTGCACCTTGTCTGCAATACAGAGCTCTCCTACCAGAACAAAGAGACACATAAAATTAAATATGTTCCTTAAATTTATAATGATTGCATATTTATAACTTTAAAAATTACCCCCTGGACAGTCACCCCCCTGAAAATTACCCCTCGTACAATCTAGGAAAATTACCCCCCCCCCCCCCGGAAAACTTCCTTTAAGGACAATAACCCCTGAAGATGACCACAGGAAAATTACCCCCCCCCCCCCAAGGACAACCACCCGCAAGGACAATTACCCCCGAAGAAGTACCCCTAGGATAATTACCCCCCTACCCCCCCCCCCCCCCAAGGAATACCACCCCAAGGTGATTGTCCAAGGGTGTAATTTTCAGAGGGGGGGGGGGGGGGTAATTGTGTCCCACTGGTAATTGGCCGGGGGTGATTGCCCAGGGGTAAATGTCCTAGAACCTCATCTATGTGTTAACATGTATGATTCAATTTCCTCCTGGCTCTAAGCTGACGACATTTTAAAAAGGATGATGAGGATGTACACAGGCGGGAAAAAGAAGAAACTAACTACAGTCAAACCTGTCTATAGCGACCGCCCAAGGGAAACACAAAAAGTGGTCTTTGTAGACAGGTTCCTTTAGTACATGTTTCAATCAGAAACCATTTTCAATGGAAACAAAAAATGTGGTCTTTGTAGACAATTGGTTTCAACTGGTTTCAATTGGTTTCAATTGGATCCAATTGAAACTTACAGTTGGCATAAGCTTAATTAGTTATAAGTGGTCATTACAGCAGGTTTGACTGTACAAGCATTACGGAAGAGATTATAAAAATATGAGCAAAGACAGGAATGTAACATATAAAAGCTGGAGGGATAATATAAAGGGGGAACAAAATGTGTAGGATAAGAACAGTTAAGGTGGAGACGTACATAAGAAGAGGAATGAGAAGATATTAAAGGAGAAAGCAACTAGAAGATTGTCCAAAAGGAAGGAGAGTGGGGCAAAAAGGAGGTGACCCAATAACTGATGATAATCGGCGCTTAGAGACTTTGGTGGTAAACGCTTTATAAGCAACGTTTTTATTACTATTATTATTATTTATAATTCCCCCAAAAATATGTTGGCAAATTTTCACTTACCCTGCAGAGTCTTTTGTGATAAACCTCTGGAATTGATGACCGATATCATGTTTACCATACATGAAACACGGTGTGCAGAGGTTACACTCAAAGCAGTTAAAACATTTCCATCTGATACCATGTATCCCTTCGTCCTCACATATCATGCAAGACACATCAGGATGAACAACATCTGAAAAAATGAGTTGAGAAAAGGAGAGCGTGACTGAGAGATAATATCGTTTCACTGGGTAATTCAGAAAAGGGCAGAGAGCAAGAATTAAAGCTGCAGTGCTTTTAAACAAAATCATTTTCTCCTTGATGTAAAGGGCCCAGTTTCATTAAAAATGTTATCAATAACAAGTCACAATTACTTTTATAAGCTACTAAAATCATGGCATTTGATTGGCCGAGAGCAAATTTGCCATAGAAATTTAGCATTTGCTGTTGATAACAAGTTTCATGAAACAGGGCCCTGATCCCAAAAATTCATAATTTCAAGATTTTTGTGAAATCATTTGAATAAAAGATTTTTGCCTAATCACATGAAACTAACCTTTGATAAAAGAGGTTCAGGACAAGAATTTTAGACAAAATGAAGGAAAAGCACTCAAAAAAAGCAACAATTGTAATTACAGAATCATGATCAAAGAGGAGTTTGACAGGGCATTCATGACTGATAAACCAGGGGAGTGTTTCACAAAGACTTAGCTCAACTTTAAGTTGGACTTAACTATACCATTATAATCTTTAGATAATATTTTTATCAAAAAATGTAAATTCTGTAGATGTGCGACTATGATTTGTACGTCCCTCAGAGAGACCAATGCCAGTGAGAGCAAACAGTGGCATGAATGGCCTGCCATAGTTAAGTCCAACTAAGAGTCAATCTTAGTCTTTGTGAAGCACCCCCCCCCCTGTATTTTTCACTCTGTTACATGTACATGTTTCAATACAACTTTAAAATTACTTTGTCTGATGTAATTTTCTGAAGTGATAATTATTTATCTATTTTGTTAGGAACCTTGAGGCATCCCTTTGGATATACATGTGCATTATGTTGTTCTTACATTTTTTTCCTTAAAGCCCCACTGCACTACTTATAGGTTCTTGCGCCCTCTATATAGCAAACAATGCCTAAGCGGTGACCATTGGGCCCCATGATACCCTTTTTCTATGTTAATTGAAAGCTGATTTGATGAGATAACCACCTATCAGTGACCATGCAGGGAGGTCTAATCCCTCCTGACCAAACTAGTGCAGATAGGCTTTAAAGCACATATGTACTAGCTTACAAGAGGGATTAGACCATCCAGCAAGATCACTGTACAGGTGGTTATCTCATCAACTCAGCTCTAAATTAGAAAAAGAGGATCATGGGGGACCAATGGTCACCGATTATGTATTGTTTGATATATAGAGGGCGCAAGTAGCTAATGTAAAAGTAGTGCAGTGGGGCTTTAAAGAGAAAATCATGACTAACCCGTCTGCGCATTGTCGAAGATTCTGAGATCATAGGATCGGTTGAATCCAGCCCGATAGTTATTCTTCCTCCCCATGTCCCACATGACAAGAACCGTCTTCTCCGGTCGGTCGGCGATGTCTCCTTTCCCGATGAAAACCACTGTCCCGACATGGCCCTCGCCGTGGTCCTGGTCGTCCCACTTCCAGTTGGGACCACGGACGACGCGAGTGCCCAGTACAATGGCCATCACAGCCCAGCCTCAACGATTATGGGGACTCTTTCCGTTCAGGACAGCTTGTGATGATCAGCTATTGCAATAAAGGTTTCGACTTAGATCCTGTCTGAATAAAAAATAAAAAATATCAAACAAATTCATTACTCTATTACAACTGGGAGAAGCGTGATAGTTAAATTCATTTTTTCAATAGGTTTACTTTCCTCAGATTCCTATCAATACAATCTGAATTCACTTCAATAATGGTTCATTCATCCAGATCCAGCAACAGCCATAATGATAACAATAATGATTCAATGGTACAGTGATAATTATAATAATAAAAAGTACACTACAGAGACGCCAAGTTCAAAGATCGGCAATGCGTGACATTTTCATGATTCGGCGCGCAAGCTCTTACGCGCGCGTCGTGCGTAAGAGCATTTTCAGACCCTCGAAATGCGTGATGTCACGCCTAATGCGTGCTACTTGGTAGCTCTGATAATGTCAAAATAATTCAATCCTCTGATAGGGAGGCCAATGCCCGGGCGTAAGGCTTCTACGCCTACGATTTGTGCGCTCGTCGTCCAAGTAAGAAAATTACCAGAAGAAAAAATAAAGAAAAAAAATATCTATGGAATAACATATATAACAAAAAAACAATTGTACACTCCACAACATACCTATAAACACGGATCTGTAACGGTCTTTCACCATTTGTCGACGATCTTGCATATTTTGACGTATTCAATAATTTTGCTAGCAGACGAAACATAACGCACACACAAGAGAAACTAGAAGGGTCCTAGAGGGTGCGGAGGTTAGCTCACTAAAATCCTTCTCAATGACTGAAGGTAGAGCCTAAAAATATGGAATCAATTTAATATCAAAGAACTTTTGATAGAGATTGACATATCAGATGTGCACAAATGTCACTTTTAAAAACTAGAAAATATAAAGAAAAAAGATTATATCTTTTTAAATACAAATTTTTACAAACTGCACATTCGAAGGTAGATAGAGTACGATGTTTCTGTCAATCTTGCGTTGGTTTGAGGCCGATAGCTACAGCCATCTCAAATTGAGAAGAAAAAATGTGAACAGTGATGTCATTGTTCAAGCCCAAAATAGAGGTCTTGCGACTTCATAATATGAATATGTATGAGCTCCAGTTCACATCATGCGCCAGACAAATCTCTTGTAGTCTCAGACACAGTACCTTATTCTCAAAGCACTAATATCGAGTGTCGAGCTTGTGCAGTAAATCATGCATGAGAAATGTTAAAAAAGATATTTCAGTAAAGAATGTCTACATGAGCAGTCTATACTCCGATTGAGAAGTGAATGAAAGGGGTCGATGAAAGGTCATGATGTAGTGGATGATACATAGTTAGTATTACGTATGGCTAAAGAGAGAGAGAGAGAGAGAGAGATCCAAGTTAAGTACGCATGCGATGCTGATCTCCGAAAAGCGGAGGGACAACAACAGAGAGAGATGCGATATACACTGTATGCATGCATATGTACATAGTATCATTCCGGATTAATGTGTCGATCTTGCTGTGACTTGGATTTTAGAGGTCGTTCTAGTTGATTTGTACACTACAGTAAACTGAAATCATAATACTCATGAGGAAATCAAGTCATTGGAATATTGGAATAACAATCTAAGGTAAATATTAATGAATTAGATCTAGTTCTTTCCTTCTTTTTTTTACTTGTGGATCTAGTTGTCATACGTACATTGATGGTTCGATTTCAACTTCAGCGTGTATTGCGGCTTGCATGCGACCGATTCAAGGCTAGCCGGTGATGATAAATGTACTTTCGCGCGAAGTTTTGAACTTGTTGTCAGGGCATGACACGCCTCTTCCCTCAGGCCTGTCTAATTCTCAACGTAATTTTGGGGACCATGAAATTGATTGTTTCAAGGCTCTTACGTACGGCCAGGCGTAGGGAAGGAGCTGGATATCTCCTATTTTATGGAAATTCTGGAGTCGGCAGATGGGTGAGTTGTCATAGTGAAAGAAAATCCTTTCTTTTAATGTTTGTGTAGGGATTTATTTTGAACTTCTGAAACTCCCCCTCATATCCATGATTCATCCCTTTCATATTAATAGGTCATCCCTCATTTACATTCACCCTTTTCATCCACCATCCTTTCATCTGTCTATCTCTCTTTCTCTCTCATTGGTTTCAATGTTCACCTGATGCAGTCAAGCTTATAGTATAATTTACATATACCATGAATATTCAATATATACCCTTTGTTTATGTTTGAATATTCAAGAATACTTTGGGATGCTGATTTATACTTGTATGGGACTAAATGAATATTTATTGGTTTCTTCTACTTTGCATGGAATGTATGTGGAATGCTACATAGAATGCTGTAATGCTTTGCTACATTAAAACCTGGTCAGTTAGCCAGGAGTTATCAATCGTACAACATGTCTGCTGGGCTGCCTCTGTGTACTTAAGAGTGCTAGGAATTAGTTAGAACCACAACCCTACATTGGTGGCAGCGGTGTTTTTCTAGCCTCTTCTTCCCCAGAGCTTCAGGCAGCTTCATCCAGCGGCGGCTGATAGTCAAGGTTTTGGTTATCTTTTCATCCTGCTTCGATTGATACAGTTACGCCCTGCTTCGTGAATTTGCTTCCTCCTTCGTGAATTTGCTTCCTCCTTCAGGTAATTTAGTTCACCCTTTTCGAAAGGCGCTGTTTCTACTGTGCTCCTACCAATGTTAGTTTTCATCCTGCTTCAGTGAAATTCTTCCTTCTTCGCGAATTCTTCTACATGCATAATCTGAAGTTAGTGAAATTTCCGAGTGAATCGGTGTATTTAGATCCATGTTTTTCAGTGTGAAACCTGTATGGACTCAACACATTTCATAGTGGATTAGATGTGTTCTTGCAATTTCAGGTTTACTAATGCTTGCAATTCAAGACTGACTTTCAAGTGTTACTGATTTTAGATATCATGAGTACATTTCGTCTAGACCTCCCTGAGGTCTTCACTGGAGAAGACGGTAGGAATTTTGGGCAGTGGGTACGAAGGCTGGAAGTAGCGGTTGAAGTTCTTCCCCAGACAGAAAGAAAACTGCATCTCATCCTTCCATCCAGACTAGCGGGTGCGGCGTTCACAGTTTGGGAGAGTATTCCGAGCACAGAACAACAAGATTACAGTGTAGTTAGAAAGAAACTTTCTGCTGTTTTTGGGAATACTAATTATTTGACCACGTTCAAGTCATGTATCGATGCTCGGAAGCGGCAACAGAATGAGGTTTTGGAAGTTTTTGCGGCAGCAATTACGACACTAGTGGAAGAAGCTTTCCCTAATTATGACACTGCAGGAAAGGATGGAGAGAAATTTCGCAGGTTTCTCGCCGGTATTGACAAACCCCTGCAGATAAGAATACACGAGATGGGTGCGACGTCGTTTAGCGAGGCGCTAGATGTGGCGGTGCGAGTTGAAAGAGCGAATCGGTTGGGGCAACCATCAGTGGCAACAGACTTTACCATAGCGTCAACTTCTCCGAAGAGGGATGCCACCTCGGCGACGCTTGAGAAGGTTTTACAGCGTTTAGATGAGCTAGAACTCAAGTTGGAGAAATGCAACTCTACACCTAGACCTCAATTCTCTGATCGTCGTCTCCAACCGTCGAGATCACCAAGTCCTTATGACCACCCGTCTCGGTCGAATCGCCGATATTCAGATGATCATTGGCGCCAACCATCTCGATCGCCTAGCCCATACCAACCATACCAACCACATCAACGACGCTTCAGGTCGCCCAGCCCCCTACGTCACCAACGCACTCAGAGCCCTACACATCATCGCACACTTCGCGGGTCAACCCCACCCAGGCGTAATGCATACGATGATGGTAGATCTGCTAGCCCACGACAGTCAAGATACTCGAACCAAGCTAACTGGAAGTCTTCACGTTCTGACGACCGCCACGCATCTGGTACAAGGGATACCCCTTATCATCAGTTGAACGGTGAACAGCACCGGAAGGTTCGTTTCGATGACCAGGGAAACTACTGGTAGTTGGTGAGGAGAGTCACTCATCAACTTCACCACTCTTGACCAAACAGACTCAAACTGACAACAAATCTCATCCTCCATCTACTTCGGCTGTTAATGATCATTCTTCTCCTTCACCTCCGCCACCATATATTCCAGCAATCGTTGACAACTCATATATTTTGGCTTTTATTGACAGTGGTTCATTTATATCACTGATGAGTGCAGATTTCTACTACTCCATCCCAGAAGGCCAGCGAAGTATATTACAGAAGTCAACAACTCTGGCTTCAACGATAACCAGAGAAGGCATTGACATCATTGGCACAACCTCTCCCACCATCCATCTTGGTGACAAAACAACCAGACATATGTTCAATGTTGCAAGGAACATAACTCATCCTTTCGTCCTTGGTTGGGATTTCATGTTCAAACATGATGCCACTCTATCTACTACGACATTCACTATGCCTGGTATGAGTATTCCACTGGTCGACCGTCGTCAATATCAAGTACCACTCAAGTGCAATGTTTCGCTGATAGGAAAGGCAACTCTTCCTGGGATGAGTGAGGTACATGTCCAAGGCCGCCTTATTCCCCCTCAGCCTGATGTGATTCCACAAGACTACGATGGAATCTTTGAGCCCTCCATCCATGAACATCTCCATGTAGCAGGTGCAAGGTCTCTATCTCGACCGCAAGATGGTATCATCTTACTCAGGCTGATCAACCCTTCATCTGAGACAGTGCAATTATCTGCAGACACCACCCTTGGGCAGTTCTATTCTACTACTGGAGACGGTGAGGAAGAATATGAAATCATCGACAGTATTGTAGCTGGCACACAGAAAAGTTCGTCTTTTCAAGCTTCTTCGATGCTTCCTACTTCTAGTCTGTCCAAGACCGAGTATGAGTCTGCTGAAAGTCTACTCAATTCATACTCTGATGTTTTCAGCAGCACATCCGAGGATATTGGACAGACTAACCTCGCCTACCATGACATCACTACATCAACAGAGATACCAACTCGTAAAAGGGCATACAGGACTTCACCAACTATGAGAGTCGAG